GTGTTGGTTAGATCAGACAGATATTCTGGTGATGGCCAATCTAGCTGAAGAGTCTTTGCCTTTTAACAGCCGGACTTTTTTTCTAATCTGAATTAAAGTAGAAAAAAATCTGAGGAGGCTCAAACCCCCGTGCATAACTACGAGTTTGATGGGAGGTGGCAGGTTTTTTATTTACAAGTATGCATTACCTGCTGCAATACCAGATAAACTGGCTGTGCTGCATTGTAGGAATCAACCAGCCAGTGCCCCGAGTCACCTACAGATTTGATAGCAGAAACCAACCCTTCACATCTGGGTTATAAGTTTGACTTTGCCCAGTGTTGATAATGAAAGCTAGTCTCTGTAAAAGATGTTGATGATATCAGTTCTTAGTAGATAGGATCCCATATCACCTAGGAATAGTTACGGTTAATAATAATTTCTCTTCCGTCACGATAGATTAAGTAGAGAGACCAAAGATGCTACCATGTAAAGGAGCAGGAAATTCCATTTATCACTAGGTGTGGATTCCCTCCAGACAAAAGGAAAGTATAGCATAGATAGTACATTTCTGTCTCCTTCCTACACAAGTATCTTTTAAAATAGTATTCTGTTCCTTATTTAAAAAAAGAAAAAACAAAAAAAAAAAGCAAAACACCAAAAAAACCCCACTACAAAACAGTGTACAGCCTATTTAATGTATTTTGGGTGGTAAGCCTGCTGTGTTTCCAGTTTTTGTCATAGTTGTCAATCTTAGGGTTTAGAATTGCAACCCTTCAGGTGGTACATCAAACATAGTAACAAAGCCTAGCAAACATATTTTATGTGAATGCAAACCACCTGAAAAAATCAGAAGCTCAGGAGCAAAGGCATGCAAGATTACTGAACACGTTGGGAAAGGCATTACAAGTTACAGAGTGGTGGTAACCTACTAATTCCACTGCTAGTTATGCCCTGGACATAAATGGCTTGGGGAATAAACAGGGGCTCTGACTATGTTCTGTACCTTGAGACTAAATTATCCCTTGGTATAAATATCACTGAAACAAATGGACTTACTCTGTTAATTAACCTATATTACTCTGTTGGCTTTTCCATTAACATCAACTGGCTGTGTGCTGGGAGAGCCATCTCATGTTACCTGTACTGCCTTTTCCTTCAAACACCAGAGAAATTTGTCCCAGCTATTAGTCCTCAGCGTGTGTGTCATTTTCCAGAGTCTGTGTGCACTTTTCACTGCCATTACGCATTCCCATCGCATAGCAGGAATTGCTGATAATTATCCTCTTCATTAATGTGGCTATTAGAGAGAAATTTCTAAACTCGGTGAGCTGCTTAGTTTGTACATTTGATTCTTACACATCTGTAGAGCCTTTTTGTTGACTGCGCTGCAGGCCACCAGTCATAGGAAAACCTAGGCTCCTCAGAAAAGCATAGCCTGTCAGATAATCAATTAAAATACATTTAAATATTAGCTATATTATTTTGCCTATTTCTCATGAGTGTTCAAGAGATGTTTAACACTGTGTAGCTCTCTACAGGGAAGACCCTCAGCTAAATGAATGGCCAAAGTTCCTTCCTTCCATACCCTGGGGTGAGTTATTCCTGATGCCATCGTGGTTTTTTGCTGTGTCCGTGCACTAAATTAGTGTTGCGTTTATTTACCAGTTACAGCACTGCCAGTATTGAACTGCACGTGAAACATTTTTACACACCAACAGCCCCAGTGTGAAAGGTGAAATATAAACCTCAAATCTATCATCAGGATTATTACATTAAGAGGTTGTACAGTGACGTATTCACAATTCAAGGTAAAGATAAGGATGTTTGCATTTGCGTGTTTCAGCTTAGTATTTTAATTGACTACCGTAAAATATACCAGGATGTGATAGAACAGCCTTCACCTTCTCCAGAATCCTGCTGCTCTTCTGGTATGTTAGCTTTTCTTTGCAACACATTAAAATACTGTTACCGATTTGGTTTTCATCATAAAGAGCTTTTCAGCAAGAAAGCAACTTAAAACACTGGATTTATTGAATGTTTTACGTGTGTAAGCGGCAATTCCATGGGTGCGACACACAGGGATATGACACAAGTCAATTTTTTTACTTTAAACAAGAGCACTCCGACATGTTGAGGAAAGATGGTGGGCATTGGGGACATGAGGGGGGCAGCAGGCTTTGCGGGGGCAGCTCCTCCTCATTTCTGAGCCAGAGGGAGCAGCGTTTCCCAATGCAACCCTACCTTCCACCCCAGTTCCTCTCTTCACACCAGAGGACCAAAGCCCACTGCAGCTCCTGCTCTGTGAGTCCACCTTTTTTCCCTAGTGAGCCAGATAAGCCATGCACATCCTGTCATGCAGACAGGACAGACGCTCGTATTCACAAAATCACGGAATTGTCAGAGCTAGAAGGGACCTCTAGAGATCATCTAGTCCAACTCCCCTGCTAAAGCAGGGTTGCCCAGAGCACATTACTCAGGACTCCATCTAGTTGGGTCTTAAAGATCTTCAGAGAAGGGGACTCCACACCCTCCCTGGGCAGCCTGTTCCAGGGCTCTGTCACCCTCACCGTAAAGAAGTTCTTCCTCATATTTGAGTGGAACTTCCCATGTTCCAGCTTGTGCCCGTTGCCCCTTGTCCTATCGCTGGAAACCACTAAAGAGAGTCCGGCTCCATCCTCCTTCAACCCACCCTTTAGACATCTGTAAGGTCTCCCCTCAGCCTTCTCTTCTCCTGGCTAAAGAGTCCTTGCTCTCTCAGCCTTTCAATCTTCAGAAACTGGCATCTGGTCTCAGACCTCCAGATTGGACAAAGCTGGCCAGAGGATAAGAGATAGGTGTTACCAAGGAGAAGGAAGGGGTCCTGATGTCTGCTGAGCTCATGACCAGACCCTTCCCTCGCTTGAAGCCCTGTATGTAAATAAAGCACCAGATTGTGGCAGCTTAAGGCCTAAATGTGATCAATTGAAAAAATAAGGATGTTTTATCAATTCAATTCTTTTAGCTATAACTAGAGTAGGGGCAGCAATTCAAGATGAAAATGTGACTTTTGGAAGTATCTCTGTCATTGTTGCACGGTACATATTTATAAAGATTTACCACCAAGTCACAACAATATTTTTTGTCAAACGATGTCACACTGGCTGAGGGTCTGGCAGTCTCTGTCCTCCCCTGCCTGGTCACCACTCTCACCACATTCCTGTCCCAGCACACGATTCGCTCACGTGGTATGGAAGAATCACAGAGTGGTAGAGGCTGGAAGGGACCTCTGGAGATCATCTAGTCCAACCCCCCTGCCAGAGCAGGTTCACCCAGGGCAGGTTGGACAGGAATGCATCCAGGCGAGTTTTGAATATCTCCAGAGAAAGAGACTCCACAGCCTCTCTGGGCAGACTGTTCCAGTGCTCTGGCACCTTCAAGTAAAGAAGTTTTCCCTCCTGTTGAGATGGAATTTCCTGTGTTCCAGTTTGTGTCTGTTGTCTCTTGTCCTGTGACTGGGCACCACTGAAAAGTCTGGCCCCATCGTCTTGATGCTCGGCCTTTAGATATTCATAAGCATTGATGAGATCTCCTCTCAGTCTTCTCCAGGCAAAACAGACCCAGGTCTCTCAGCCTCTCCCTGTAAGAGAGGTGCTCCATTCCCTTCATCATCTCTGGAGCCCTCCGCTGGACTCTCTCCAGCAGTTCCCTGTCCCTCTTGAACTGGGGGGCCCAGAACTGGACACAGTACTCCAGATGTGGCCTCACCAGGGCAGAGTAGAGGGCGAGGGTGACCTCCTTTGACCTCTTGGCCAGGCTTCTTTTAATGCACCCCAGGAGACCACTGGCCTTCTTGGCCGCAAGGGCACACTGCTGGCTCCTGGTCAACTTGTTGCCCACCAGGACTCCAAGGTCCCTCTCTGCAGAGCTGCTTTCCAGCGGGTCAAGGACCGCAGATCCCGTTTGTTCCTCATCTGAATCCTGCTGGCACCTCAGCTTTGTTCCACCTGCTGTTTGTGGGGCTCCCCATGCTGTCACCGCCACCACCACACGGCAGCACCCTGGGGCCGGGCAGTGCTGGCACCCTGCCGCAGAACCCCCAGCATTTTGGTGTTTGACCTCCCCGCTCCGCTGCCACCAGCTCCCAGCAGGCAAGGATGGGGGACAAGCACCAGGACCTGGATTGCCCCTCTACTCTGCCCTGGTGAGGCCCCATCTGAAGTACTGTGTCCAGTTCTGGGCTCCTCAGTTCAAGAAGGACAGGCAACTGCTGGAGAGGGTAGAGCAGAGGGCTACAAGGATGATGAGGGGCCTGGAGCATCTCTCTTATGAGAGGATGAGAGACTTGGGTCTTTTTAGTCTAGAGAAGAGAAGGCTGAGGGGAGATCTGATCAATGTTTATAAATACTTAAAGGGTGGGTGTCAGGAGGACGGGGCCGGTCTTTTTTCAGTGGTGCCCAGGGATAGGACAAGAGGAAAAGGGGAACAGACTTGAATATAAGAAGTTCCACCTAAACATGAGGAGGAACTTCTTTACTTTGAGGGTGGCAGAGCACTGGAACAGGCTGCCCAGAGAGGTGGTAGTGTCTTCTTCTCTGGAGATATTCAAAAGCCTCCTGGACACGTTCCTGTGCAACCTGCTCTGGGTGGACCTGCTCTGGCAGGGGGGTTGGACCAGATGATCTCCAGAGGTCCCTTCCAGCCCCACATCATTCTGTGTCTCTGTGCTGGGGACCGCTCCCGCGGGGGGAAGCGCCCTCCGCCGCCCGCTAGGGGGCGCTGCGTCGGCGTCGGGGGGGGGGGCGCGGTCGAGGGGGAGTGGCCGAAGCCCCGCTGTCGAGTTCCCCGGGCGACCGGGGTGGTCGCGCCGTGACGCCAGGGTGTTTCCCGGTGACGTCGGGCCGCTCATGCGCAGTGGCCGGCGTGCGGCGATTCTGGGTGACGTCACGGCCCGGGCGTGACGTGCCGGTGGCGCGGGCCGCTGGGAGCTGGCCGGCATCTGCGCTCAACCCGCCCCCCCCTCCCCCTTCCCACTACGGGTCGCGGCTGGGGGCGTCCCGGCGGCGGGGACGCGGCTCCCCCCTCCCCCGCCCTCGCCCCGGCGCTCCGATCCAAGATGGCGGCGCTGAGCAGCGGCAGCAGCGCGGAGGGGGCCTCGCTCTTCAACGGGGACATGGAGCCCGAGCCGCCGCCGCCCGCTCTCGGCGCCTGCTACGCTGCGGGCAGCGGCGACCCGGCCATCCCGGAGGAGGTGAGGCCACACTCACGGCGGCGACCACCCGCCGCCCATCCCACTCCCGGGGACTGCCGGCGGGCCCGGCCGGGGCGGCGGCGGGGATCCCCGCTGCGGGGAGGCCCCGGCCTCCCGGGCGGGCCGTGCTGCCCTGCGGGGCTGCGCCCGCGGGGGCCGGGGCTTCCCCCGGCCGGGGAGAGGGATGTCGGGTCGGGGGGCTGGTTTCGGAGGAGCCCAGCGGCTGTCAGGCGTGCTGGGACCGGGCGGCTGCGCCCGGGCAGGGGTTTTATAATCGGCTTCTCCCTGCGGGGGTTTTTGAAACACCTGAAATATGCTTTTAAAAGCGGGGTTTGGGGTACGGTTCCCTGTGTGGGTGTGGGCCCGGCGGGGAGGGGTGGGAGGGGGGGGGGGTGTCGGGCCTCTGGTCGGTGTCTCCCTTCCACACTTCCTGTGTTTTGGGGGCATGTTACTTAACTTCCCGATCCCACAGAGCGGCACTACCTGTTTTGCTGGGGTTAAAGCCAGTCGCTAAACGCTTCCCAAACGTTTGCAGAAGGTGGGATAGAACGTGCGGTAACAACAGGAGGTGTTTTGCGGCTTTTCGCGTGCTGTAGGCATCAGAGTCAGAAGGAATTGCCGCAGATGCCATGCATCGAGTCTGTTCTGGAGGTAAATACAGATGCCAGAAGCTCTGCTGCCTCGTTCGGAGCGTTGGTTGCTGAAGATTATTTCAGCTCAGCTTTCCTGAGCATGTGTGTAGTTGGTACAGGACCTCTTGTTGCCCCAGGAGGTGCCAAGCCCACCAGGTAATGGCTCCTTGCTGCTCCTGGGGGGAGAGCCTCCAGCAGGGAAAATCATCAGCTTGGATCATCAGCTCATGGAAGGGTCCAGTTTGACTCCCAACTCACCAGAAAAAGGCTATCTTTTTATCCATTTCGTTTTTCAATAGCATAGCGGATTATAGTGGAATTACTGAGTTGAAAAGTTTGATGAGTACTAGAGCTCGTGCCAGGTATGTGGCTGGAAAGGAGAAACAGGGAAGGCGTTTTGGCCTATTGATGCTAGTGAGAGGTGAGATTGATTTGCTCATCTTAAGAAGCTACTGGCTTACTTGCTGAAGGAGGCAAAACTCAGCAGTATGCATGTATTTAACACCTAGCCAGCAGGACGATTAAGTGCTTTGAGTAATGCAAGTCTAGTCTCAACTTTCCTGAGTAAGGAGAAACTCTCAACTGGTTGAGAAACCTAAATACCTAAAGAGTGGGGTTTGATAAATGTTTCCTTTCAGCAGCAAAATGAAGTTAAAAAGCTTCTCGCTGATTTTTATCACCCCAATTGAGCTGGCACAACTGTACGCAGAACTGAATTTCTCAGTTATTTCTGCCATAAAACCCCAGATCTCTGTGGCTCATTTCAATAACTGGTTTATATTGTGGTCCTAGAAACAGTAATATCAATACAGTTGAGTTGGGTAGATAAACTGCAGTGCAAGAGAGGGGAGAGGGGAAAGCACTGTCAGGAGGCAAGACTTTTTAAAAAATCAGTTTCCATACCAAGGGGTTGTTTGGGAAACTGCTGTAAGTCACTTGAACTTCAAAAATGTTTTAGCCTGTGTCAGTCATTAGGTCTGACTCCAAATGCTAAACTGTGTAGCGTAGCTTTTTTCCCCCTGCTCCAAATATCTTGCATCTCTGTATGACAAGAGGGAGAGAAGCAGTCTGGTGTCTGCCAAACAGAGAGGTTGGGAAGTCACGAATATGGGTGCATATATTCACGGTTAGGAAGTGTGTAGGGGTATTTTTGTATTATTTAAAAGGAAATGTTTTATACATTGGAAATACTGAAACACGCGGGTCTAAGGCAGAGCTGGTGCTAGCAACTTTGTTTTCTGATGTGGTTTTGTTCTTTAGTTACGTAGTTCTAATTACATTTTGTTTACTACATAAGTGTGCCTATTACCTCATCTAAATGTGTACTTTTAATAAAGCTCAAGACCAAAAAATTGCTGATACAGATAAAACGGAAACTATCCCTAATACAAGAAACTAACGTAAAGCATAAAGCAAAGTCAAAGTGACATAAGTTAGAAAAATACTGAAGTGCTTCTAAGTGACTCATGGCTCTAATGTAAGTACGTGCCTCAGTGTTTTGTTTCGTTCCTTCAAGACAGGGTAAATCTAAGCTTGAAGAGTAACCTTGCTGTGGAAGCCCACAAAGGAGCGTAACCTGACTTATTTTGAGGAAGGAGAACCTGGAAAGGTTTTAGATCCCTATAATCTTTCGGGAAGAGCTGTCCCAATTTTCAAAAGGAAAGCCTTCAGGTCTATACTCAGTTTCTAGTTTTAAAAGAGGGGTGGAGAAGCAAAATCTCTGACAGCTCTTGAAGTAGTCTTAAACATGGAGCCCTTTGGTAAAGAAGGATTCTGTATCAAGATTGTCATTGAGTGCTGCTGGTTACGACTACATCCGTGCTGCTTATGTGGTTGAGGGTTAGGGTTTTGAAAAACAAGTTTAAGCCATAATGTTCAGTTCGTGGCCAGTTTTTAATTAAATACCGAATTTACTTCTTCAGAAGTTGCCTCGGTAGCCTAACTGCTGATATGAAAAATCTTCTTCTAATAATGAAGTCGTTACATAAGCTAAAGCTTTTTTTTTCCATATTACAATTCAAGATTAGTAAGAGGAGTTGCACATGCACTCATATAGTACGTTTAGGAAATAGATACTTGGAGGCATAAGGATTTGGAAAGGGTAGGGGCAAATGAATTTAGCAGAAATGTTCCTCTTCCGCTCACCCTTCAGTTGCTGGTGTTGGGAGGTCCAGGATGAGTGCTGGTGTTTGGAGGCGTGTAGGTTGGCTTCTACCCCAGGGATGAATTCTCGGGACAAGAAATTGTTTGGATGGAAGGTTTTCAGAGCATTACAGGGTTGTTGATATAGTAAGGAGTGTGTGACAGCTGGGAGGAAAGGCTCTGTTCTTGTTGCTAGAGATTATTTACACCAATATTAAATAATTCAAGTGGGATTTTCTGTACTCGGAGTTTTGTGCCCTGAACTGCTCTTTGGAAGATGAAAAAAAGACTTTGAAGGGTTGTGAAGTGTGGGCCTGAGCTGTTGGATGGTCGATCGTTTTCTAGGAGGCAATGCTGGAATTTATCCTGCATGAATATTTTTTATACATTTAGAAACTATAGTCTTATAAAACAGATTTAAGAAGAAGAATAAAATGCACAGAATGAAAAAGCGCCTCTAACCTTATAATATGAAGTAAGTGGTGGGTTCTCATAAAGCACTGTAGGTGCACCAAGAAAAAATGGGGTTGTTATTGTTGCAGTAACATTTAGGGAACCTATGGTGCTGAGAATTAGCATAACTTTCCTTTTAAGTTTCTATTTCTCTGTGAAGTTTATAATTAAACATGCTACTTATTTGGAAAGTTGAAACAAGATAACAGTTTTTTAACTTTGTTGCATTTGTAGTTTTGGGAATTTGTTTTATGTTGAGTCTCAATTATGTTTCATTGCATTTGTGTTCAGTGATTGAGCTAACTTTATAGTCTGTGAATGACATCCTATTTAATTGTGAGGACAAGTGAAGCTTTAGCTGCAAGATACACTCCTGCAGAATATTAGCTGGATATGAAGTATCTCAAAAGATAACTGAAGTAATTCTTTTGTTTTGCACAGCAGGGGAAAGGCCTTAGCCAAATACTATGTCTGACTTGGGGTCACAGCTTCAAGAAATACATGGTCTAGCTGAGGAGAATCTAGAGAAAAATAATTACAGTGATCTGAAGTCTAGAAGGTCAGAGCTTTGAGGAAAGACTGAAAAAAAACCCTGAAGTTGTTTAAAAAAGAAATGGAAACTGTCAAATCTGATGCAAAGAAGAATGCAAATAACTTGTTCTCCAGGCTTGTAGCAATTACTGCCAGAAGAAGTGAGCTTAAATGATAGCAGAGGAGATGGTTTCACATTGCATTTAGACCTTTTTCTTTATGACTAGGTATAGTGAACCATGAAAATAAACTTTCTTAACTTATTTATAAAATGTCCATTAGTAGATTTGTTCACCTCCACAGGCAAACCTGTGTCAGGAGTGATGGAGGAGAGTTGATCAAGGTGTGGAAAAGGCAATGACTTTGATAACCTCTTGTCTGTTTCTTTCCTTTGGCTTTTTATGATGTATTTGTGGCAAGGTAGTTTGAACATTAGAACACAACCTTGGAATACTTGAGTTTAGTGGTGATACGAAAGAAATTTCTGTTTATGATGTTTTTCCCCAAAGACAATAGGATTAACACCTCTGTCCTGTCGTAGCTTATTTGATTACACAAAACTTGCTTAATAGATTAGTAGCTTCTTATGAAAAATTTTTGTCTCTGGAGGCTTGTTTTTTCTTGTCTCTGTGAATGTCCGTGAACTGGTTGGATACGAAATGTTTGGTACTGAGTTTTTTGTTAATTTATGTGGTTACTTAAGCCACTAATGCTATTCCCATTTGTATTTTGTTGTAGTTGTTAAACTCAAAGACCTCTTATTTTTAAAGCTGTTCTAATTATATCCTTCTTGACACTTGTTTAGCCAGGAAAGGCAATTCTTTTGTTGCATGCAGTTAAAAATACTGTAGACCAAATGAGATTTGGATTTTGTTTTTTAATATGGAGCAATCTTTTGATGGTAGCTTTTTTTTTTTTTAAACAAACTAAAAAAAAACCACCCAGATTTCCTTCAAGCTCCAACATTTCACTTTGTTTTGTAATTTTGTAACAAATCTCTAGTACGGTTTTATTAGTTATTATTTCTGTAGAAAATTTGACTGCATGAAATATTCTGGAGGGAATTTCAATTGGAAGGAAACATAATTTTCTTTGTACTTCCAAAGGAAGCAAAAAGTTTCAAATGATTGTGAAATGATTTATTTCTTACAGTCCACTTGTACCTAGAAGCTACTTCAGGTTTAAGGGGGTTTTTGGAGATGCTTTTTTGACCAAGTGTAAGTTTTATGGAAGGTTTTCTTT